TTCCCGACAAACATGGCACTCCTTACACTAATCTTTCAAAAGTACAACATTGTCACAATGTGGCAGCTTAAGATGCTGGCCCCAGGGAATCTTGTGGTCAAGACAACTGTGTTTTGGTCCTTTAAAATCCTAAAATAATGATTCTCTTATTTCATCTGCTACTCTTTCTACCTTAATTCATATTTTTGTATCTTGTCTGAGTTCAGTTCAGGAGAAATGTACAAATTAGAAATTAGATAGTGATATAACTTAATATGTAGACTGTAATTTAGAAGCAATTTAATTTCATTTAAGATCGTGAAGATGATATATTGGAAAGAAATAAAATATTTTTGTATAAAAAAAGATTATATATGTTTAGAAATAAATCCTGAGTCTAATGAGTGTCCTCTATTGTACAATCAGAGGATTTCAATTATTCAATGTATTCCAGAGAAAGAGGGAAAAACTATTGAATTTTGGACAAAACCAATGTCTGAAAAATATGAATGGAATTTAGGTATATTTTTATACTTGTGAAAATGAAAATCCTCATTGAAAAGTGACTTGGTAAGCAAACTATGATTTATAGACAGGAAGTGGTGAGGAGGTAGAGAAAAGATACAGAGCACATTCTAAAGGCCCAAACACTTGAAAGACTCCAGAATATCCTGGGATTGTTTTGTTTTTCTGATCCATCTCTATTTATATTTCTTGGAGTGATAGGATACATTTGACCACTTCATTTCCATGGGGTGTAAAAGCATAAGAGCAGCCAGCCTGCTAAGAACTCAAAGCCAGATGGTGTAGATATGTGTCATGCTGAGCTGATGGTTTGGAAATGCCAGCTCTGTAGAATGGTTGGAGCCAAATAATACTTCAAGGTAATCCTGCTCAAGACCCATTTGTACATCTCCATATAACATTATATCTTAAACAGTTAGTTTCATGAGTTTTAAGTTGTAGTGGCCAGAGTGGTACATCTAGGCAATAGAAGAGTACAGGTAGAATTTCTCCTATAGAATCTGTCAACTGTCACTTGAATCAAATTCTAGTAAATGTGTAGAAATCTACAGTAGTGTCACAGTATTGGCAAACTAGTTCTTTAAGCGAATAACCAAAAGTCAGTCCATTCTTCAGGACATGGTAGAATGCTTCATAATTTTTAGAAATTATATTTTGATAATGGGACTTAGAGACAGACTTTTCCTTTTCCTCCACAGTGCTGGGTATTGACCTCAGGACCTTGTACATGCCAGGCAAGCACACTTCCATGGATGGGTACCCCAGCCAGTGAGTTAAAGAAACAGTAGCAACCCCTAAACTTTCTCTGTCCCTCCGCTTAGAAATAAAACAGTTTTGTAGTTCCTGCTTTCAGTGACTGTACATTTAGTTCGACTTCCATGGATGGGTACCCCAGCCAGTGAGTTAAAGAAACAGTAGCAACCCATAAACTTTGTCTGTCCCTCCGCTTAGAAATAAGAAAACAGTTTTGTAGTTCCTGCTTTCAGTGACTGTACATTTAGTTCAAAGGTAATTTCATGCAATACTGATCACGTGGCTCATAAAATACAGTTTGTGTAGCACAGATGAAGGGGCTTGGAAGGTCCTTTTCCCCTTAGGGATGCTGAATGAATTGTATTGTGCATCTTATTTTGATTTTGACCCATCAGATGAGGTCAAGAGTGGCATTTCCTACCTGTGGTGACATGTTGAGACTCAAATTTTTCTCATTTTGGAGAATTTTGATTTTTGAGTAAGGTATGTTTAATCTATATAATCAACAGTTACAAAAGTGTTTGCATTAATAGCTGAAGAAGTTGACATATATTTAGAGGATAAGCCCAAATATATGATTTAACTCATAAACTGAAGGCAAGATGGGTGCCATTGAGTATATCCTGGACTTTTAATGTGAACAGCGATAGTAAAGTTGGAAAGTGTAGTAAGAGTTTAGACTAGACCTTTTACCTTACCCCACACCACCAAATTTCCTTATTGCCCAGGCTACATAAAACAAATAAATGGTTTTCACATATTTATGCTTCATTGGTACCAAGCCAAATTTCTATTTCCTTTTGCTTATAGAAAAAAAATAGAATTTTTGTGTACAGTACAGTCCTCATCAGCTTCTTGACTCACCAAAGTCTGCTATGATTAGCCAGATCTTAAAAGTAGAGGAAGGTGAGTTGGAAGAAAAGGATTGAAATAAGTAGCCTACGATATTACAAAATGTCAGGATGACTTTTATAAAATCTACATGACCTGGACTAATGACTTATTTTTTCTTTTTTTTTCTTTTTTTGGTGTTTTGAGACAAGGTCTCCCTGTAGCCCCAACTGTCATGGAACTCGCTAAGTAGACCAGGCTAGCGTCAGTCTCAGAGAAATCCCCTTGCCTCTGCTTCTCTGAGTGCTGGGATTAAAGAAAGGCCTGTGCCACCATTCATGACTGACTTTTAATTAACTCCAGCAAGACCATGTGCTCTTGTGTCTTATGATCTGGGTGCCTGACAACCTCAGAACCTCCTGGGAACTTTAGTTTGGTACTCTACCTAAAAATATAATGAATGAATGAATGTGGGTATGCTTGAGAATTAATGTATCAAAGTGTTGAAAGGTCACACACCCGCCTTTCATTGCACACAGTGAAGACTGGAAAAGATGATTAACCTTGGATGGATGAGGTATTTTAGAACTAGGGATGAAAAGGCAGACTGGTCTATTAAGGTAAGGGTGGGACCAAACTTGTACTTCCCAATCGAGGCTGGAAAAACCATTTTGAATAAAATCATGGCTTGGGCCTGACTCAAGACACAGAGTTCCAGAGACAGTTCCATCAGCACAGTTCCAAGAAATAGTTCTAAGAGATATCTCTAAGTTCAGGACCACTCTTAAAAACTGAATTTAAGAGTCAGGTGTTTTGTTCTTGTTGTTCAGCTGTTTGTAATGTTGGACTACAAACACTGCAACAAAAATATGAAGGCCATTAGCTTTAGAATTTTTGTTTTTAAACAGTTTGGAAACATTTCATACCAGTGAAATACAGGTCTATAGGGGAAACAGCCCCAGTGTCCATATGTATATTACTTTCGAAAGATTTGACTGCATAACTACTGAAAACCTAGGGAAGCCATTTAGTTCAGGCTTGACAAAAGAAACTTGCTCCATATCAAAATTTGGATTTTTGTGTTTAGTTGATTTGTCTGTGACCAACTTTCTATCACTTCCTGCAGTGAAAAAAATCCCTAAATCCAAGGGATTAACTCATATACTTGGTTTCTCCATTTAGCATATTATTCAGACTATAGTCATCCTTTAGCTTTCCATCCTTAGATATTTGCCAGACCTCACTAGGGAGTATGACCAGAGTGTAGATGTGATACTTTAACATAAGGCAAATGCTACTTTGGTAATTAATATTCTTGCTTAATATTCTCTCCTTAGGTGTGCATGTGTGTGTGTGTGTGTGTGTGTGTGTGTGTGTGTTTGTGTGTATCTTTACTGTCCACAGGAAAATGGAAATACATTTTTTTCATTTTGAAGCATTTATTCAAATTCTGTGTTCACCAGTTGATGACAGGTCTTCCTTCCTTCCTTCCTTCCTTCCTTCCTTCCTTCCTTCCTTCCTCCCTCCCTCCCTCCCTTCCTCCTTCCTTCCTTTTTTTTTTTTGTTGTTGAGGTTGTTATATTTGTTTGTTTTGTTTTGAGATAGAGTCTCACTATGTGCCCATGATTGACCTGGAACTCCCTATGTAGACCAGGCTGGTCTGGAATTCACAGTCACCTGCCTCTGCCTCCCAAATGCTGAGATTAAAGTGTGTGCCACCAACCACACTCAGGGTGGCAGGTCTTTTTAAGGTAGCATAATTTGAAACATTTTATTCTTGAGATTTTCTTTATGTATACAGTGTATTTTGATCGTATCTTCTCCCATCCCCCTCTAAATCCTCCTCATTTCCCTCCCAACCTTCTATATCCTATTGAGTTCAGTCAGTGCTGCTCTTATGTGCATGGATGTAGGACTATCCACTGGAGCATGGGCAATATGTCAGAGGCCATATCTCTGGAGAAAGCTGACAGTTCTTACCCCAGCAAGTCTTCAGCTAAGGGTGGGGTTTGTGAGCATCTCACCCATCTATACTAGAATTTTGACTGGCTTGATCCTGTGTAGGTTCAGGCAGCCAAAGCATCTGTGAGTTCATGAGTACAGTAGTCCTGTCATGTCTAGAACACTGTTTCCTACCAGTTCTTTCTAACCTCTGACTCTAACAATCTTTCCACGCCTTCTTCTCTGATGTTCCCTGAACCTTGTGTGGGGTCGGGGGTTGAGGGAGGCATGGAAGTAAGATGAATGTTCTCATTTATAGTAATGATAAAGATCTGTTTTGTATTTGGAGAGTGAGCTCTTTTAAAATATTTTATTATTTTTATTTTATGTGTATGAGTGTATTGGTTGCATGTATGTAAGTGCACCTATGTTGTGCAACACCCATGGAGGTCAGAAGAGAAGGTGTTGGATTCCCTTGGAACTGGAGTTATGGGTGGTTGCTAGCTGCTATGTGGGTGCTGAGAATCAAACCCAGGTCCTCTGCAAGAACAGCCAGTACTCTTTTTTTAAAAGTATTTTATTATTTTTATTTTATGTATATGAGTGTATTGCCTACATGTATGTGAGTGCACCCATGTTGTGCAATGCCGCGGAAGTCAGAAGAGGGTTTTGGATTCCCCTGCAACTGGAGTGAAGGACAGTTGTTAGCTGCCATGTGGGTGCTGGGAATCGAACCCGGGTCCTCTGCAATTGCCATCAGTGCTCTTAACTGCTGAGCCATCTCTCCAGCCCAAACAGCCAGTACTCTTAACTGTGGAGCTATTGCTCCAGCTCCTAGAGTGAGCTCTTTAAAGAAGCTTTTGGTCTTGTCTTTTCATGTGTCATGTTGGAAACACGCAGCTCCCTTTGTGTTCTACAGCTTGGGTCCCTTCAGTGCTTACTGATCACTTAGGACCATTGTCTTCCTGCAGGTTATCCAGGCCGTCTTCTTCGGCATCTGCGTGCTGACTGATCTTTCCAGTCTTCTGACCAGAGGGAGCGGGAACCAAGAACAAGAGAGGCAGCTCAGGAAGCTCATCTCCCTCCGGGACTGGATGTTGGCTGTGCTGGCCTTTCCCGTTGGGGTTGTGAGTATGATGCAGAATGTATTTATTACAGAAGAAGCATGGGTCTTGCTTCAGACCTGTTAACACAAAAAAGAGGGTTCTCCATAGATTTCTTCCTTTTGGTGGTAATAAGGACTGAGCCTAGGACCTCACGGATGCCAAACAAAGCTCTACCATTGAGCTATATTCAGGCCTGTTTGTTTCTTTTTGTTTTCTGAGGCTACCAGAACCTCAGACATAAATTTATACTCTCACAATGCTGGGAACTGGATGTGTGAGATCAAGGTGTCACAGGGTCGATTTCTTCTGAGGCCTGTCTCTGGCTTCAAGAAGGTGCCTTTGCACTGTCTGTTACACTCTCTTCCCTCTGTGGCAGTCTGAGCCCTGATTTCCTCATCTTAGAAGGAGACCAGTTATACTGATCAAGATTCTCCAGTGGCCTCATCTAGCCTCACCTACTTCTTTAAATGCCCAGACTGTCACACTGTGAGATTCTGGGGGATTGAGATTTAGCATGTGGGGCCTGAAATATGGCTCAGTCAGTGAAGTGTTTGCTGTAAAAACCCAAGGACCTGCATTTGATCCCCAGAACCTATGTAAAAAATCTGGGTGTGGTGGTATGCATTTGTAGTCCCAGTGCTGGGGAGGCAGAGATTGGTGGATCCTTGGGACTTGCTGGCATGCCTACATTCACATACAACCTGTATGTGCGCATGTAAGTGCACACACACACACACACACACACACACAGGATTTTTGCACGGCTCAGCCCCAACTCAAGAGGAAATCAACATTAATTAAGACTTCACTTAGCCATCTGTGCCATTAGCTAATATCACTTAGGTAAATGCCACTCGATGTTTGGGTCTTCTGGCCTCATTGATTTCTTTGTTTTCAGTTAGATTCTCATCGTAGCTTAGTTTCCTTTACAGTCTGTTAATTTTCCATTGTCTGCACACAAACCATGTTCTTCACAAGCCCCATGGGACCCCAGAGAGTTTTTAACTTGTGTATAGCCAGCAGAGTGAGAGAATGTGTGTCTCAAACTGTGAAGGCAAGTCAGAGTATGTTACATAATTCAGTTTGAGACATTTCATTTGTTAGTTGATTTCTGGAGCAAACAGCAGCTCTGGAGATGTGGCTGCCACATGTACCAAGTTTAAACTTCATTGTGAAAAGAGTCAAAAAGTTCTTTAGATCCTGCCTTTGGTTCTTTTTCTTATTTGCCAGGTCTGTAGTTGGCAGAGACTTCCACATGTTTGGCACCGAGTTGCCCTTTTCTGAGTACTGAGCTGATTTTCTTGAGTCCAGCAGCCCTGAGCCCTTGAGAGTAACCTGAGTGTCAGAAGAGCATTCTAACCCAGTCCTAAACCTTGTTCTTCATCCTTGTCTTTTGAAAACCTTTGTAATGCAAGAGTGCTTACACTGAAGCCATCAAAACAATCTCTCACATTTTCTTGTTTAAATGCTTTGCATATTATATAATATTGTCCTCTTTGGTTTTTTTAACCTTATAAAATTCAAATACTTAGCCAGTATACTAATACGGACCTCTAATCCCAGCACTCTGGAGGCTGAGGCAAGAGGATTGCTGAGTTCCAGGCCATCCTGGGCTACATAGGGAAACCTTGTCTCAGAAAAAAAATTCAAATACTTTCCATCAGTTATGTAAGAGAAAATTTCCATGGCATAAAATGTAATAATACATGCTCTTCATAAAATAGTTATATCTAGAAATCCCAAGTTTCTGTATAAAAATGCATCTGTATATAATTCTTTTTTTTTTCTTTTTAACCCTTTTTCATTGAATTTCTCCATTGTCTCTGGATGCATTTGTTGGCTAGAAAAAAATACAATAGTAGTGCAATGTAAAGGTAAGTTATGGACAGTGGCACATACCTGTAGTCCAAGCAACTCAGGAGGCTGAAGTAGGAGGACCACTTGAATCAGGCATTTGAGACCTGTACAAGCCTGAAATCATAGAGAGATCCTAGCATGCTTTCCCAACCACTCCTTCCTTACCTGTCACCCTGCCTCTATAGGCAAATTCTGACTCAAGCTCAAAGTCTGTCTCTCCCCTCAGAAGCATATTTGTGTCTTTTGGAGATCTGTAACATGTCCAGGGCAACTTTCTGTACTTTTTTGTGCTTGAGGCTTAGAGATTTGTCAGCTCCCAGGGTCCAGTTTTATTCTGCGTGCTTTGTGATTTGCTTATTTGTTTTATAATGCCTGATGTGTTCCTCCGTATTTTTTCTTCTTCTGTTATTTTGTCCATGTAAAAGAAGGGAGAGGAGCAAACCTTTTCATCCTCACCACTCCGCTTTTAACTACAAGTCACAGCACAGCGTTCTCTGGGACTGTGAGTGTACCTTTCCTGGCCGGGAATCTCCTGGCAGCAGGCTATGTCTTAGCCCTGTACCCTAGTGCCTGCTGTCCTTCCTGGTGTACAGGAGGCGACTAGAGCTCTGCACATTCATATGACAAGTTTAGAGAGAGATGTGCACCTTCTCCAGTTTCTTTAGCTCTTTTTTTCTTTGCACAGATATTGACAGTCACTGGTTCTAGCTTTCTTAATCTTCCCTGTTGAGTCACTTTCTCCTTTTCCAGATACTAGCTTACCATTTTTCCTTAATTAAAACAATTCCTTTCTTGGATTTCTTTCACTTCCTCCTTTCCCCTTCTGTATTTTCTCCTCCCGTATTAAGAAAAGATTTTGCTGGTATTCCCTAAAAATCAGATGCTTTCCACTGTGTCTCCCGTTTCTTCGTTACTCTGTCATTTGACTTCATATCTGTTCACTTATTGCCCACCACACTTCTCTCTCTAATGAGAAAAAAAATCATTTTGAGATTAAAAAAAAAAAACCCACCCGACTGATGGATTCTTCTGAAATTCCATTAATTTTATTGATGATAGGAATTTAACTGTTAGAATTTTAACCCAAAATACATTTTGCCAAACCACTGTACATTTTGTAATTTTTTTCCCCTTTTCCTAATGTTTCTTCCCAATTTCACTTTCGGTGCGTCTTTGTCTTTGCAGTGACTTCACCCTCCTCTACCCTCCGGAAACTTTCTCATTTCTCTGTCTGTTCAGAAGGGTCTAGAATCCCAATGGAGTTTGTTCTTATCACTTAAGACTTTCTTCCTTGTTAAAATGTGAATTCTTTCTGCATTGAGGCCCTGGGAAATAACTCAGAAAATGTCACTCTGGAGATAGGGTTACTCACCCCAGGCTCCTGGAATGGAAGGTGGTACCTAGCCTGGAGGGCTTTTGACAGCAGAGGGCTGAGAATAGCATTAGTGCCCAGTACCTCATGGACACAAGTTAAGATACCTGCAGGAGTCTGTAGTATGAAAATTTTTATCATGGGGGCTGGAGAGATGACTCAGTGGTTAAGAGCGCTGATTGCTCTTACAGAAGACCAAGGTTCAATTCCCAGTACCCACATGGCAGCTAACAATGGTCCCTAACTCCAGTTCCAGGGGATCTGATGTTCTCTTCTGACCTCCTCAGGCATTGTATGACATGGGTGCACTTATGTACATGGAGGTAATACACTCATACACATTAAAAAACTGCTTATCATGTAGCCAAGGTATTAAAGTTAGCATTTGAAGCAATCCAGATCTCACCAAGCAGAGCTGGAGACATGGCTCAGCAGTTAAGAACACTAGCTGTACTTGCAGAGGACCCAGGTTTGGTTCCCAGCACCCATATAAAGGCTAACAACTGTCCATAATTCCAGTTCCAGGGGAATCTGATGCCCTCTTCTGACCTCTATGGGCATTGTATGACATGGGTGCACTTACATACATACATGCAGGCAATACACTCATACACATAAAATAAAAATAATTAATAAAATATTTTAAGAATTTCACCAAGCAAAGCATCCCAACATCTTCTCTGAGACAGAGGAGCATTGACCTGGCTTGAGTTTCCAAGTGGAAGGTGAAGAGGCTGGTCTTTGAACCCCCTAGGGTCCCCAGAGATGTCCCCAATTCTGTTACCCTGACTGCAGGGTGACTGCTAACCTCAGAGTATTCTATTGCTTTATACTGAGTTCCTCCACATCACACTTTATATTTGTCAGTTCATTACCGGGAATGAAATATTATTTTTGCTTCATGATTTGGGCAAAAGGCATTAAAACAGGGCAGCTGACTTTATCCTCTCTGCTCAAATTGTTGTGAAATCATTTCTTGACCAGAGCTTTTCTTGGTTTATATTGTCTGTCTGTCTGTCTGTCTGTCTGTCTGCCTGCCTGCTTCTCTCCTTCTCCCACTTCAGTTGCAACCAAAACAGCAAGAAATTCACACATACGTTGTCTCGGATTTGTAGTTTGTACACTAATGCTTCCTCCAGGAGCAAGGTTAATTGAGAGCTGACAGTAATTGCTTTATTTGAACATGAAGTAGTGAATAAGATTTGGTGCCCTATGGACCTAATGCAGGCAGTGCGGCAGCGGCCTCTCTTACCTCAAGGATATGTAAAAATAATGAAACATTCCAATCAAAGGTAATTGGAGTACACTTTTGTTTCAGTGGGACTTGAAGAAATCAGGCAGAGTTGCTTGAGTGAACATAGCATGTATCATCCTGATCTGTGTCAATTCCCATAAAAGCAAAGCTGGCCTTGATTAGTAACACTAATGGCCGGAAACCACCACCACTCCCCAAGCCTTGCAACTCATTTCACAGGGATAACCCACAGGAGGCTGTTCTTCCCATGTGCAGTTCATTTCTGAACCCTGTCACCCTTTTAAAGAAACGTTACAAATAATCCTGTGACATGATGTGGTCTGGAAGCACTGAGGTTCATTAGGAACAATCAAATGGAGAATGCCTTTTGTCTCCTGCAAGTTTGTTGACTTTTATGCTGGCAGATCCCATTATAGTTAAGAAAGTAGGATCCTCTTTGAACCAAAAATGGAAATCAAAGAGTATGAAGGGTATGTAAGTGCTGCTCTCGGAGACCCTAGATGTGTCTCCAACTGCCATCCATGGAAAAGCACAATT